AGCTTTCCTGGAACAAGTCCACTTCATCAGACGTAAGCATACTGATACTTATGTCTGAGTTCACATTAAAATATAGCAGTTAGTCTTTCAGGTGCCAAATCTTTTGTCTCCTTCTTTATTTTGTTTGTTTTTCTTTTGTTTCATGTTGATGGGCCTGCGTAGACTAATATGTCTACCACTTCAAAAACAACAACTTGCCTTTTTGTGTGTTATTCAGTGGCTAAGACTCCTATCCATAAGCTGGGAAGTCACTAGATCCAGTCTCAATTCAGTCATGAATCTACATGGTGTCTCTGAACAACATGCTTTCTCTTTCACTCTCAAACTAGAAGATGATGACTGTACGTAGCTGTGCCTTCAGCAAACTGTTCTTCCCTTATACAACTTGCATGCTTCCAGTTAGTTCTCCCATGGGAAGCATTTCATTCTGAAAGATGTTGCAACATGGATGGATGGAGGGAGGGAGGGATGGAGAGAAGAGGAGAGAGGGAAGGAAGGCGGGAGAGAGAGAGAGAGAGAGAGCGACAGACAGACAAATGGGTGGATGGATGGAGAGGAGAGGAGAGGAGAGGAGGGAGGAAAGGAGGGAGAGACAGAGAGACGGACGGACGGACGGACGGACGGACGGACGGATGGATGAGGCCCTATGGGGTCAAGGGAAGCATTCCTTCACAAACTTCATCTTTTAACAATTGTGGCCCCGGAACATTAATTTCTTAAATAAATGAATAAATAAATAAACACATTTAAAAGCCTTTTTAAAGGAAAAATACTTTGGTGGGGGGCAGACAATGTGTGAACATGTGTTTAGCTCTCAAACCGCTGGAGGTATCCTACCTCTTCTTCTACAGAGGGCACGATGCTCTGCCTGCCACTTTCTGCTCCTCCTCAACAGCATGGCTGTGATCGGGACACAGAATCATAGGACACCTCTCAGCGCATACAAACATCACATGAAAGATCGAGGACTCGGCTGCCTCTCCACCAATCAACACATGGTGCAGGGGCATTCTACCCTTCCTCTCTTGAAGAGGACAGGAAGCAGGATTTCAATATATTTGCCGTATTGTACCTCCAAAACATTTCAACTAGAACGATTTCATCCTTATCCTGCTCCACAGCACCTGAAAATCAGCAAGCAAGCGACATACCTGTTCACTGTTCTCTTGCTTTCTTTCTTGAATTTGTGCTCTTAATGACTGATTCTCCTCCTGTACAGTCTGTGCGTGTGTGAGAAAGAGAGAGAGAAATTAGACCTGACTGTCCGGTTTCTAACGCTTAGGGTATCCTCCCCTGAGCTCAGCCACACTTTCATACCTGCAACTCCCTCCTTTGGTGGGAAACCTCCTTCCCCCTCTCGTCTAATAAGGCCTCCATCTTCTGAACTTCTTCTTGCTTCTCTTTCAATCTGCAAACACAGTTTCAACTTATTGATGTTTGGCAACAAGCAAGCCCCACCAGTTTGTCTCCTCTGTTTTAACGTCTGCTCTGCTCTGCAGTTTGTGTGACAGCCATTTCCGCCAAATAACAGACAGCCACCACTTTTGCTTGGCTCTTGGGCAACAAGCTGTAATGCCAAGTTCTCACCATTCATTTGGAAAAGAGACTGAAATGTTGTGTTTTGGACTACAAATTCCCAGAATATCCCAAAAAGGTTAGTCAAAGCTCTGATCTGGAGATGATTGGTCACTCGTTTTGGGTTCTAGCCCATAAGCTCTAAAGAAATATATGGTTTCTCTCTCTCTTTCTCTCTCTCTTTCACTCCCTCCCGCCTACATCAAAAGTCCCAAACAAATAACAAAGGCAGAGGAAAGGGCAAAGAATGGAGCTCCACCTGGCTTACTTACAAAGCCTCAAGGTCCTTGACTGACGAAGCAAGAGAAACCTAACAGAGACAAGACAGAAAGGTTACAGATGCTGTGATAATATGCAGAAAGTCACCCAGCTAAAATCACCCACACCTTCACAGGTCAACTTAGGTTTGAACTGGAGGCTTCCCTGAACATCTCAAAAACCGTTATGTTTTGATTCTGCCTGGGTCTTGTTGTGCCCATTAAGAAAATACTACATACAGAAACTGGCCTTTCATAAGTGGGGGTGAGGAGGGGGAGAGGATCAAGAACAAAATATTGCAGGACTTTAAAAGATGACCAATCTTGTTTCAGTGGGAGCTTTCCTGGACCAAAATCCACCTTTTTCCCCTCTCTTCACCACCTCTTTCTCTTTGCTATCTTTTCCCCTAGATCTCTCTCTCTCTCTCGAATAGCAGGACCGCAGCATCCATAGGAATCAACTCCTCGCCCCCTGGCAGATACTGAAAAAGGCAGAAGTATTGAACACTATACACTGCATGGTCTCTGGCTCCCTCTAATGGCCAGTTCTAGTAAATACACTCTGGAAATACAAATATTTCTGAAGTTTTTTATTTTGTATTTTCCGGCAGTGGACAAATGAATGAGCGGATGCAGAACCCGTGGATAAGACAGTTCTCCACTCTACAGTTCTCTCTTCTATATGTTAAGACAGTTCTCCAAAGCCACGTAGCAAAACGGACACGAAGTAAAGGGTTGGAACTACCTGCTCCGCGTTCAGCTGCTCAAGCTCCTTGACTCTGGTGTTCAAGCGCTGCAACGTGTCTTGTTGACCCTTCGGACATTTAGAAAGAAAAAGCACCAGATGAGATGCAAACGTTCTGGACACAGTGACCGAGTTCAGAGCCTCATCCAGATTTCCCCCTTCCGGCTCTACCTGAAACCACTCTCCTTTCTTTGCCATCTCGCTCTCTTTTTCTCTCAGCGCGGTCTCCAGCCTTCTCACCTGCTCCTCTTTCCCCATCAGTCTGCAAGAGCGAACACAAAAGAAGGAAAAGGTCCATCTAGAAATGCACCGAGCAAGGGGTTGGACTTCGAGAGCCACCATTAAACCCTTTCCCCATCAATCTGTTGCTGCTCTGGCCTTGGCCAGCATGTGTTACAGGGTTAGGAAAGTAACAGTCACAACTCATGAACAAAAAAAAACAAAACCCATACAGAGCATTTGTGAAGTATCTTCTTTTTTATTTTATCATGGAACTGAAATCTTGAAATCTTTCTTTTTGTCCGTCCGAAACACTTTTATAGTTTTCTTCTAGGAAGAAAACCAGGACGCTCTTTTTCAAGAGACCATTGTGTGAGGGATCTGGGATGAGGATTATATCCTCCCATGGATTAAGGATCTTTATTTGTTTAAAAAAAAATATACCCTACCCTGTATCTGGAAAACTCACAAGGAAGTATCATCAGTAAGACAACACAGACCGACATGAAGGAATTCAGCAAAATGGAAAGAGGAGCCACTGTCTTTTCAAAATCATGACCTGATATTCCAGAACTCTTTAGATTGCCTTTAGCCTCTTATCTGGATTATGGTTGTTGTTCTATACTATCACATGGCCCCCGATTTATGGTGACCTTCTGGAAAACTCACAAGGAAGTATCATCAGTAAGACAACACAGACCGACATGAAGGAATTCAGCAAAATGGAAAGAGGAGCCACTGTCTTTTCAAAATCATGACCTGATATTCCAGAACTCTTTAGATTGCCTTTAGCCTCTTATCTGGATTATGGTTGTTGTTCTATACTATCACATGGCCCCCGATTTATGGTGACCCCATGAATGAGTGACCTTGAAAATGTCCTTTCCTCAACAGCCTTGCTCGGCTCTTGCAAACCCAAGTCTGTGGTTTCCTTTAGGGAGTCAATTCATCTCATATTTGGTCTTCCTCTTTCCCTTATCCGGATTAGGCACGTGGAAACTTGCTCTGTTAGATCAAAAAAGCCAAGGTATACTCATTGAGTCTCAAAATATTTTTTTTAATTTCCTTTTTGGCTGAAGTAATTTTAAACTGACATGATTAATCTAACTCCAACCACATAATCCAAAATAAGGGACTGAAAGAAGGCTAGAGTTGTTTGATTTTGGATTGTCTTTTTAAAAAACTTATTGAAACAGCAACACTGAAAGAAGGCTAAAGAGTTGTTTAATTTTGGATTGTCTTTTTGAAAAAGTCAACTTATTGAAACAGCAATTTACAACAAAGGAAGAGGCCAAATCAAAACACGTTAAAAACAAAACAAAACAAATCACATCCTATTAATAAAAATGGCCAACGGACACCTAATATTTTGGGCAGTAGCCATACTTACAGATTCTGAAGTTCTTTGATCTCTTGTGCAACTGATATCTACAGAAAGAGCATAATATGTATATGGTTACTCTGAAAAGAAGCACAAAGTAAATGTAAATAGCAATACTAAGAGGGCATGTTTAAAAGCAAGCCGATGAATCCTTTACCATAAAACAAAGAGAAGTCCCAGAAGATTAATTGGCATTTATAGAAGTAGTTAAGGGGTGATACTCATTAAGCCTCTACTGAAATATTTTCCCTTTACAAAATCACGATTTATAACTTTTTTAAAAATGGGGAAGCAGCTTTGAATGAAGAAGTACTTTAAATGCATTAAATCAACAGACCCATACCCTGTTGGTAACTCCTTACACTCCACGAGAGCACAGACGTGTCACAGAGATTACTAGTAACTGGTTTATGGCCATCCAGCAGCTACGTTTATACCTTGGGAAGAGTTACAATCAAGACCTTGTTAAAAATCGAATCCTCTAATAACTGAAATGTGTTGTTACCATTAATTGTGCAAAAACCATTGCATTTCTGAATAAGGAATGTTGAAGGCCATCCAATTCACAACTGAAGTTGGGGAAAGTTCTTACCAAAACACAAACATAATTCCCTCCAATTCCTACCCACTTAGCCGGCTGCAGAGAACATGTGATAACTCCTCACAGCTCCAGTCTCTTCCTTTAAAATATATTGGTAATGTCACAGCCCCCACCTTGTGGTGATTTTGCATGGACTGTTCAGGTAGAATTTGAAATCACAGCAATGCAGAGCTGAAAGAGGACCTCAAGGATCATCAACTCTAGCCCTCGAGGAAGCAGGTAATCCACCCACAGCTAATCTATCCCTGAGAGAACCATTTGACCTTGGCTTAGAATCCTCCCATAAAGAGACATTCACTGTCGAACCCCTCTTGTGATTGGGAAGTTCTTCCTCCTGTTTAGTCAACACCTCCACTCTTATAATTGGGTTCCATAGGGTCAGGTCCTATCCTCTGGAGCTGCAGGAAACAAGCTTGCTCCAGCTAACATGCAACTGCTCTTCAAATAGTTATAGGTTAGGTTTCCAGACCTTTTGACATCTTGGTTGGTCTTCTCTGGACATGTTCCAGCTTGTCCCTCGAGGAAGCAGGTAATCCACCCACAGGTAATCTATCCCTGACAGACAGCCATTTAACCTCGGCTTAGAATCCTCCCATAAAGAAGAGTCCACCACCTTCTGGTCTAGTGCAAACAGCATGCTTTGAACCTTCCCTAACACGCTAAAGAAAAACAACAACTAATATTTCCAGGTTCTGGCTGTTTATTTCCTTGTCAATGGATTAAGCTACTCATCTGGACAGGATGTTTCATATCATAAACTATCCGGGAGGCAGGGAGCAAGAGTGCTCAACAATTGTACAAGTGCACTTGCGGATTAGCTGGTTTCAGATCACAGGGTGGAAAGCTGATGGAAACTAGTATTATTAAGCAGTAAAAGCATTCAGAGATGACCAGTGAAAGATGTACATCAACATGATATACTGATAAGCAAAGAGAAGCATCAGGGACCCAATGATGAAATGGTGCCCCTCCCCCCACCTTCTGATGAAACCAGTAGAGCCTTTGAAATGTGCTATTTCAAAGTTCAGTTCCATGAAAACAATCTATTTTAGAAGTGCATGCAAATGACCAAAGAAGAGTTTTTATAGGGTTGGAAGCATGGCAAAGCAATGTATCCTGAGTCTATACAGAATCCTATTCATTCCTCTAGTGATGGAATAATCTTGCCAACGTCCTAGCTCAGCTCTAGGAATATCTGAATGGTTTTGGACAGATGCAGAGAAACCCATGCATGTTAAGTATGGGTTCTGATGCTGCTGATTTACAACTCCTTTAATAAAATACATTGCATTTTTTGTTTGTTTGTTTATAATATAGGGTTGGAAGCATGGCAAAGCAATGTATCTTGAGTCTATACAGAATCCTATTCATCTCTCTAGTGATGGAGGAATCTTGCCAACATCCTAGCTCAGCTCTAGAAATATCTGAATGGTTTTGTACAGGTGCAGAGAAACCCATACATGTTAGGTAACGGTATGGGTTCTGATGCTGCTGATTTACAACTCCTTTAATAAAATACATTGCATTTTTTGTTTGTTTGTTTATATTTTTACCCTGCCTTTCTCCTTAAAAAGGACTCAAAGTGAGTTACATCATTAAAAGACAGTATTCAAAGCAGCAATAGTGAGCATACCAATAGAGTCTGAATAGGCTGAAATTTTGCCCATCTACTTCTGAAGTCAGAAATTGTGGCCCAGATATAAAGGTCTACAGCTGTTCCCTGCTACAAAATAATGTGGCTCTTCCACTGTCATCAAGTTAGTCAATTAATGATTCAAGTTTCAGATAAGTTAAATTCTCATGTGAAGAAAACATGTTAAAGGTCTAAAACAAAAAAAAGAGTCCTTTTTTGGTTGCAACACAACACACAGATGTTACTGCAAGCATCCCTTCTTATGTGTGATACAGAACACCTCTTGCAAGATAAAGAGTTTGCTCTCTGCACTCTTTATATATACTTGCAAATCCAAAACAACGTAAAAACAATGAAAGGGCTGCTCACCCGTGAGCAGGTGTCATCTCTTCTTCACTAACCAACAGGGATTGAACACAGCTGATTTGTCAACTAAGCGTTGCAAATCCTAAATATTCCATAAATATATATAATGCTCAGCTTAGTGGCAACTAAAAAAGCCCTGTCTCTCCAGTCAGAAGTGCCTTCCCCCAAGATTTAAATCAACTTATTTTTTTAAAAAAAAATCAAATTGGATTTTTGTTAACGACTTAATTTTTTAAAAAAATCATTTTGTTAAAAATTGTGATTAAAATCAATTATTTTTTAAATTTGATTTTTATCCATCCTGTGTCCTCCCCCGCCCCCACCCCCTTGCTGTTGGGTCCCATCTGGACAGGAAAAGAGGGAGAAAAACTCTGCAAAGCGAAGGGCCCCCCATGCAAGCCCCCTTCCAGCTGTTGGCTCAGAACTCAACGACCAATTTACCTGTGCCTCCTTCTCAAGGTGGGCCTTTCCTACTTCTTCTTTCAGAGCCTCTATTTCCTGTGTCAAAGCCTTTTCAATGACAAAACAGACAAGATTGGACAAGGGAGACTAAAACGTCACAGAAAAATGAAAAGAGTGGATGCAGAAAGTAAAAACGGATTACTCCTAAAAATGTAAGGCAAGGATGCACATAAGTAATTAATGCCAGAGAGAGGAGTGGCTCACAAGAAGGTCGCTGGCTTACCATGACCGTTTTCTCCTTGGTTGCAACTTTCAGCACTTCGGCTTGAAGCAGCTCTTCCACCGACTTGATCTTCCCGTCTTTTTCACTAATTCTTTAGGGAGGGAAGAAAACAAAAAGAAACGATTGAGAGATCACACTGGTACAGAGTGCCCATTTAGAGTACGCTCCCTCACCCCCAGCGTCAGAAGGGGAGAGCTTTCCATGGCATGTAAAGGAAGTGCTTTTTAGCATTTGACTGGGACATGTTTCAGAGAGGCAAGAAACAATGGCTATAGTCTAAAGACGTTGACTGAGCAATCATGACTATACCTAAAAACAAATAAACCAATTCAGAAGGAGATATATCAGTTATCTATGAACTCACTCATGCATGGAATAGCTGAGGGTATTCTGCTAAAGACAGCAGCTTTGATTAAAGGAACACTATTGGTCCTCTTTTAGCTTGAAAACAGTATCTCTTTTTAAATATCTCCCTTTTTTCTATTCTATACAATGAGCTGATTCAGATGCAGAACTAAATCATAGCTTAGCTTTACCAAAACAGCCCTTGCTTCTGCAGCCAAGCCCCTCTTCAGGAACAGACTGGACACTTTTGTCTTAGATTGACCGTAGCTTGCAGTGTCACACGAGCCTAGACACACTGGAGTTACTCTTCCTTATGGTTATTGGAAACAAACCATGGAGCTGGCCAGCTTTTCCTAACAACATTTAAGAAGAATTGTTCTCAACTTAGTAAAGGTTCCCCTTGACAATTTTGTCCAGTCGTGTCCAACTCTAGGCAGCGGTGCTCATCTCCATTTCCAACCCATAGAGCTAGCGTTTGTCCGCAGACAATCCTCTGTGGTCACGTGGCCAGCGCAACTAGACATGGAACGCCTTTTATCTTCCCAATAAGGTGGTACCTATTTATCTACTTGCATTTTTAGATGCTTTCGAACTGCTAGGTTGGCAGGAGCTGGGACAAGCGACAGGAGCTCACTCCGTCGCGTGGATTCGATCTTACGACTGCTGATCTTCTGACCTTGCCGCGCAGAGGCTTCAGCAGTTTCAAAAACAGAAACAATGCTTCTATTTTCTTCACGGACACACTGGAGAAGGCCAGGAGTAGGAAAGGCTACAACCTGTATGTAGGTAAACACTCTTTACCTAACGAACCCTAAAAAGGGTTGCCATAAGTCAGAACTCACTTGATGGCACATGATGATGATGATGATGATGATGTAAAGGTTCTGCTCTAAATAGGTTGATTTCATGTACATCATAGACCCAGTTTGGATACAGTAATAATAAACACTGGACTAACCAGGATGCTGTGCTATGTGTGAAAAAAAAAGACAACACCTGTCCTGTATGGAATACCTGGGAATTTAAATGGAAAATCCAAATATTCAGCATTTTTCACAAGCAAACAGCCAAAATCCTCTTGTGCTGGTACCATGTTAAGGGCATAACATTTGGAGGTGAATTGCCTCAAGTTAAGAAATCACCGCAGACATTATGTGTCGTATTTGTTACCCTGTTGAACAGCTGTGTTTGAAACTTCTTGTTATAAGGGATTTCTGTAGAATTTTTTTAAAACTTTAAATAAAAATTTATCATAAAACAGTTCAGTATACAAAGCACAGCAGCCCCCAATATTATAATGCAAAAATATATATTTTTAATTTGTGGCCAGTTCTTTTTTTTCCTCTAAAAGTCTGCTCACCTAGCTTTCCCTGATGGGTTATAAAGCGGTTAACATTAAATTATCTTTCATAAATAATATAACTAGAAGTTAATATTACTTTTGACCCAAAGAGAAGTTCTGGTTACTCTCAATTGTGACTTTTTAAAGGCAATTCAAAACATTTTGAAAAGTGTTTGAACATGATATTTTTCCAGTTTTATGTTATCTTCTCACGACTTCTAAGTGACAAGGGAAGTATTTTGTTTCAACCTTTTGTATTTCCAAGATGCAATATCATCACTGGCCACCACTGGGCACTTCAGAGAGCATTGGAGAATATTTCTCTATTTTCTTCCTGGCTGATACGGATAATGACATCACACTACGGATTGCTTTTGCCAGTGTTTCAGAAATGACAATAAAAGCAAGCTGACAGCTACAAAAATAGCACAACGGCTAGAATCTTATTAGTAACATACACTGGCATAGGCGGCAGTGGTGAACTGCTGCTAGTTAAGAAGTTGGCACATGTATTCTTCTTCATAGATAATCTTATTAGTAACATACACTGGCATAGGTGGCAGTGGTGAACTGCTGCTAGTTAGTTGGCACATGTATTCTTCTTCATAGACGTCACATGACTGGTGTGCAACAAGGTACTGTATAAAAGCACCCACTTCTTAACTAACGGCAATTCACTGCTGTGATTCACAGTTTGTTTTCATAGCGTCATACAATAGAATTGTCCTCACTGACTGTAGCGAACCAGAGGAGATTAAGCACACTCCCAGCATGCACCCTGGGAACATGTCAATTAGCCACGGCAACTTACATAGGTTAGGCATGCTTCAGTCTTGAAAGACTATGGTAACGTGCTCTGTATAGAGGACCTGGAACAACGTCTAGTGTGGCTGAGGAGGCCAATTCGAAAGTGACCATCCCTTCCACACTGAAGACAAATTCAATCTGTCCCCTGTCCAGCTCCCTGATGTTGCTGCTTTTGTGGCTTCCTCTTTGCCTCGGCCTGCTGGACAAGGGTCTCTTCAAATTGGGAGAGGCCGTGATGCAATGCCTGCCTCCAGGCTGAACGCTCAGATGTCAGGGTTTCCCACGGCAACTTACATAACCCCTCCATGATCAACAATAGTATTTTGGCTGCATAGAATATTCTGAATCTGAAAAATAGGAATCTGCTGGCTACTTACACTTTTTGCAATTCTTCCACCAAAGATGCAAAGGAAACCTTGAGGGGGGAAAATACAAAATATCACAGACATTTATAGAGAGAAATTCAAGTCAACTTGACTGCAAGTCCCAGTAAGTAAGAAAACTAACATAGATATTGATTTCTTTATTCATCAATTGCCTATCCTTCTAACAGACATGATAACTTAGAAACACTTCACAAATCTTTGCAAGCATGCCCTCCCCATTGGATATTCTTCATTTTGGACGGCACACTTATACAAGCAGGAAAGCTGGCCATCCTGTGCAATTTATTTCTTACACAACATAGAGGAAAGTTGAGGGATAGTAGCTTGCTTGCTTTATTTGTTTGTTTGTTTAACTTATATGCCGCCCAAACTACCCAAAGGTCTCTGGGCGGTTTACAACAATTTAAATACAATAAAAAGATAAAAATAATTAAAATACAATTAAAAATACAGTGCTCTAAAAACTGCCATCAGGAACCACAGCTGATATTATTTCAATTAAAAACCATCTGGAACAGGAAGGTTTTGACCTGGCGCCGAAACGTCATCAATGTCAGCGCCAGACGAATCTGACTCAGGATGGCGTTCCATAGTCTGGGGGCAGCTGCTGAAAAGGCCCTTTGTCTACCAGCCATCCGTCTTACCCCTTTGAGGGATAGCTCTTTCAAAAGGGCCCTCTGGCTAGATCTTAATGGCCAGGTAGGTTCATATGGAAGGTTATGATATCCTCACTGAATTCCCGGCACAGACGTACTGGTTACTGATTTATTGATGCAAGCCATTTCCCCAGTCTAACATAATATGTTTGTCTTTGAGTTTCAATAGCATATTGAACATTTTTAACAAAAAAAAATGGATTGTAAAATTTCTGCAAGCACGACTATCACTTTCTAAGTTTTAGTTAGCACATTTTGAGAATGCAACTGAAATAGGTTTCTCCTTCATTCCTCATTAGCAGACTTCAGGAATGTTTGCCACCAGATCTAAGGCTTCAAGGCTATGACTCTTTGAAGTTGACTTCATTGAATAGACAAACAGAGGTATATCATAAAACATCACTGGGAGAGCCAAGAAAGTGCATCTTGCCTAAGGCCACAAGTTTTGTGGCATCTTGCCTAAGGCCACAAGTTTTGTAAGTTATGAAACTTGGAACTTAGAAAGTATAAGTTCGCACTTAAATCACTCAACAGATTACAATGAGCAACAACCATTACTGAATACTAGTCTTCTACTGATAAAGATTACTGCTTAAAAAACGGAGGACATACCTGTTCTGTTTGCACCTTCTGAAGATTTTCAACTTCTTTTTTCAAGGCGGTGTTCTCTGTTTTCAATACCTTTCAGAGACAAAAGAAAAGCAAAACATTGCTATAGAACTGTTATAAAAGATACACATTACCACAAAAGGGAGGAGAATCTTTGAACACTCTGAAAAGATTTACCAAAAACATTTATTGTGTGTAGACATGCTTTACATACAAGTACTGTATTTTTCGCACCATAAGATGCACTTTTTTCCCACAAAACAGGGGGGGTGGAAGATCTGTGCGTCTTATGGAGCAAAGAAAACATATTATATTTTCCTGTTTTCTTCTCCTAAAAACTTGGTGTGTCTTATGGAAAGGTGCGTCTTATGGAGCGAAAAATACGGTAAGTAAAAAAAATGTAATACACATTCTGACTCGTGGGAGAAAAGCCAGGCTGTGTGGCCTTAGGCAAGCTGCACAGTTCCAAGGTGACCCCCCAAAGAAGGGAAGGGTAAATAAAAACCCATCTGAACACTCTTTACCTAAGAAACCCAGAAAGGGTTGCCATAAGTCAGAACTCACTTGATGGCACATGATGATGATGATAATGATGTAAAGGTTCTGCTCTAAATAGGTTGATTTCATGTACATCATAGACCCAGTTTGGATACAGTAATAATAAACACTGGACTAAGATTTATCTTGTGTGTTTACAAGAGGGTGGCCTTCCGGCCTAAAATGCATGTGGATGTGCTGTAGACAGGAAAGCCACCCTCCTGTAAACACACATTGTAAATACTTTGTAGATGATGTAGAAGATCGTGCCACAGAGGGAAAAAAAGGTAGAATTTACATGAGTGAGATCCCTTCCTGACATAGTACTGCTTCGCAACCTGCTTTCTCTCTGATCAAAGTAAAACCTCTTAAGCAGCTGCTCCCCTTCAACCAACCATCAGCCGTGGTTCACTCTAACTTCTGATTGGCTGATGCAGGGATTTGGAAATGCAACCTTCAGGGAGCTCTTACGTCATTCCGCATACAGCCAAAGGGAAGAGAAAGAATAAAAGAAGAACTGCGTGCCTGAGGTCAAATGGATTCTTTGGACTTCCCAAAGGACATCCAGTAAGGAAACACAGGAATACTACTGTAGTTGTAGAAGGGGTAGCCATGTTAGCCTGTGCAAGCACTCTGGGTGAAAACAATTTTTTTTAAAAAAAATTTAAAGACAAAAACATGGTGGCATCCTGAAGCCTAGCTTTCACATTTTTTTCATGTGAGCTTTTGTGGGCTAGTCCACTTCATCAGATTTGTCCACAAAAGTTCATATTAAAAAAAATTAAAAAGCTAGTCTTTACAGTGCCACCATGTTTTTCTTGTGTTTTTTTTTAACTTTTTCTTTTGTTTTCACATGAATAGTATTCATGTGAAAGTTCCAAATAGAGTAATCCTAGAACGAGCTTGAATTTTTAGCCTGTCTACATTACTGAAACAGCAACATCTACGTTGGCTCAGGCATGTTGTGAGAATGGCTGATGGTCAGATTCTAAAAGGTCTCCTGCATGGAGAATTAGTGCAGGGAAATCGCCCCAGAGGGAGACCACAGCTGCAACACAAGGAGATCTGCAAGCGGGATCCGAAGGCCTTAGGAATGGACCTCAACAGATGGGAAACCCTGACCTCTGAGCATTCAGCCTGGAGGCAGGCGTTGCATCATGGCCGCTCCCAATTTGAAGAGACCCTTGTCCAGCAGGCCGAGGCAAAGAGGCAGTCCCGAAACCAGCAAAAACAGGGAGCTCGACAGGGGACATACTGTATTTGTCTTCAGTGTGGAAGGGATGGTCACTCTCAAATTGGCCTCCTCGGCCACACTAGATGCTGTTCCAAGTCCTCCATACAGAGCATTTTACCATAGTCTCTTGAGACTGAAGGATGCCTAATGAAATGTCAGCAACCAAAAGCACATGAGTTGCAGACTTAGCAGTTCAATTACAACACCTAATGACAGTGAGTGGTCTCAACATTTATATTATCAGTCCTGCTGTCTTGCTCTATATTATTTTAATTATCACTATTTAAACTGTTGGTTGTTTTATCTTTATATTTTGATTTTATATTATTATGTTCATTTTTCGGAATCGTGTATGTTTTATATGTTTAATATGCAAACCGCCCAGAGTGACCTTGTAGCCAGATGGGCAGTATAGAAGCCCAATGAACAAACGAACGAACGAATAAATACATTCTTCTCTCCTTTTGCCCACTTTTTTATAATCTTCCATCTAAGCAGGAAAGTTGGCTAGATGTTCCCATCGTTTCCCAGAAAGTGTGGAAATGGGGAAAAGGTTTGTGTAATAAAGCCAGCATATCCGCAAATGGAGTAGAGAAATGGAAAAAGATGGATTAAGAGCAAAGGAGATACTGCGGCTTTAATCGGGGTACAACACAATGACGTGTAGATAGAAAAGTCACATATGCTTTGGGTGCACGACGGTATTAGATAGCGCATCGCCAGCTCTAGATGAGGCAAGTGCTATCCTTGCACAGATTTTTACCTTTAATTCTTCTGCCTTGTTTACTGTTTCAATAAGCCCAGTTTCAAGGAGTTCTTCAACCTCTTTTATTTTGCCGTCCTTCTCCGTAATGCTGAAAGGAGGGAAAGGTGCATGTTGAGAACTTCATCCCAAAACCAGCCACAGCTATCAGGATTAGAATCTCAGGCAGTGACTAAGACCATCCCACAGCCATTGCTGTGGCCCAGCAGTGAGAGCACACCTGAACAGAACAGGTAAGGCTGCTTTCATCACCGTTCCCTCTAGCCCGGGGGGGGGGTGTGTCACTTCCTGGCTCCCTGGGTGGGGCCACTCTTTCAGCTTGAGGGCCAGATTCTACTTCAGAGGACTTCAAACGGGCCACATTCTAGCTATCCACTGTAGTTTCTATGGACGGAAAAGAGCAGATACGGATTAAATGGTTTTCAATGCATTCCTATGGGAAATGCAGATTCAACATAAGAACTTTTCAACTTGAGAACCACCTTCCAATACGGATTAAGTTCTTAAGTAGAGACCCCACTGTACTTCAGAGGACTTCAAACGGGCCACACTCTAGCTGTGGGTGGGGCCAAAGGCAAAAAAAGAGGGGCCAAACTTTAACCACATATTTTAGCTGAAAGCTCCTACTGACAGTAACTAAGCTCAAGAGGGATATTTCATGCTTCCAGAAAGCTGGGAAATCACCAGCTGCTAGCATCCTGGAGCCAAAGAGGTGTGGCCACCTGGGGAACTCTAAGGGCCATTATGGAAGCCCAGGAGGGCTGGATTCAGTTCCAGGAAGTGAGGTTTCAGCAGTAGCTGAAGTTGCTTCTCCAGGGTCTAGGAAGAAGGTCCTCCCAAGCTGGCTACCTGAAATATTAAGTGGAGATGCCAGGAATAAAAGATGGGCCTCCACACGCCAATCAGGTCCTTCGTCAGAACCATTGCAGCCGTCCCCCTTGGGCTGTAAAGACAGACTTCTGTATGCATACTGTACGTGGTTGTCTAATGGCAATCCTGTAAACATCTCCATTTCTAGCAGATTCTCCTTCATGCAACGGTCATGAAACCAAGTATATGGCTGACTGTATGAAGGGAAGCCCACCACGGGGGGGGGGGGGGGACTCTGCTGCACAATCACGTTTACACGCGCTGTTTTTCTCCGCTGGGTCTCAGCCTAAGAGTTTTCCATCATTTGGAAGGCAATCAAAAGGCCACATGGTCTTACCTTCTTTCCATTTGCTCCAACACTTCCTTATTAACCTAAAAAAAAAGGAAGAAGGGGCGAGTGTATGTTGGCTTAGTAAATAAGACAACAGCTTAAAATTCAGCTCACATCTTCACTGGATGCCCAAACGTTGCCCTTGACATTTTAATATGGGGATGGGCAATATATATGCCCCCCCGCCCCCAGCAATTCCCTCAAGTTTTAAAAAAAGGTTTGGTGAACTTGCACAAAAAAATGGAGGGGGGGGAGAGGAATTGCAGAAGCTACTCGCAAAATTCAGAGAGGGTTATGCACAGCCCCCATATCTCTGGGGGGATTGTGCATTTGTCAATTTGATGTCTGAAGCTGACCGTGCAGGTGTTACCTCCTCCCAGTGTGGTGGTGATAATCAACAATTCAACACCCAGGGGCAGCCCCGGCTTGACAGGTGGACAGCTGCTGGCTCTGCCTATGAGTAAAGCCAGCTTAGACTCCCATTAAGCAAGTGCTTTGGAGCTGTCACTATTACTCAAGCAAAGAGGTCCTGTTTTATCTGTTGTGAGCTACCTTGGGAAGAAAGGCGGCATATAAATAAGCAAATTTTAGTCCACTGATGCTTCCAAAACAATCATTTCTAGGTCAGGTCAGAGATCATGAGATCAGAGGGGCTAAGTCTCTGGCCAGCTGTACCAGTGGCCATCTGGTGCATGCAGGAACACAGGCCTCCCTCCCTCCCCAGCACTCGAAAACCAAAAATGAATCACACCCTTTCATCCCTCTTCCCCACAAAGTACTGCAAGCCATTTTCTGCACCAGGCATATGACCAGGTTTAGCAGATGGCTTGCTTATTAGCAGAAACAAACCCTTATTACTAACCAAACAATGTTCTGCCACAAAATTATGGTACCAAGACCTTTGTATACGTCACTGGAGACTTCAGAAGTTGAAAAGCATTACTAAGACTTGCCCAGCTTTTGAAAACCCTACGAAAAAAAAACCAACCACCCAACAACCCACATGCTATTCTGCACATGTATTCTCAACTATGCACGCTTTGTTTTTCCATGTTCAGGATTATTTTTTAAAAAAGGTCCCTACTATAAAACACACTAATAAGAAAAAGCAGAAGGTTTGGTGAAAAGAAACAGCAGCTGACATTATTGGGAGGTTCTCTTTGTATGTTTTCTCACTCTGAAGTTTTATGATTGGGGAAAGAGAACACGTACGTCAGGATTCTAAAAGTCACATCAAATGATGGGATTCTTTCACCTGCATGTCTTCTAATCACATCCATGAGAATCACAACCTTCTTTGATACAAACTGCTTAAACTGGCAAAAGTCTCCTTCCCTTTCCAGATTGTTCTCAAGCCTCCATGTGCACATGTGGACAAAATAACCATTCCAGATTTTTAAAAAATGGTGTAAAAGATCAACCACAAGGATTTATATGCTAGAATAGGTAGAACATCTACATAGTGAAAGCTAGGCTATCAGCAAAGCTGACAGGGTCGGGAAGCAATCAATTCATTTTGAGTTTTCATGATGGAGGAGAGAGCTTTAAGGACATGGGTTGGCGTCCAGAAAGACAGAAGCAAAAATGTCTAAACTTGAGCCTATCATATTTTGGGCACATCACTGGAAAGGCAGAAGTGCTGGAGAAAGTAGAGGACCACAGAAAAGAGGAAGAGCAAGTATGAGATTGGTTCTGCAAAGGAACTCACGCTTGAGTATACAAGACCTGAACAGTTAATGACAAAACCTTTTGGAAAGCATGCCTTCATAGGGTCACTATTAAGTCAGAAGCAACATGATAGCACATAAACAACAGCAACAATAACGGCTTAGACGGAACCATCTCCGCTTAAGGTTACCAAAACAAGGGCGAGCTATCAGATGCACTCTAGGTGTTTTCTCTCCATTCCTAGCCTTTCCTCTTAAAATCCAGTTGAGAAAAAAGATGTCTATTGAGTCACACTGAGTACAGTGGTACCTCGACTTACGAACATCTCCACTTGTGAACGATTCGAGTTATGAATGGCTCCGTTCGCAAAAAGTTGCTTCAACTTGCGAATGGAGCTTCGACTTACAAACAAAAAAAAAACCCTCACCTGGCTTTTTTTTTTACTTAAGTTCATCTTAAGTCAAAAGAAGGAAAAATTCATCCGCTAGTGGTAGAGTACGGATTAACTGGCTTTGCATTAGTTCCTATGGGAACTAATGCCTCTACCTATGTACAGTGCCTCGACATACAAACAAAAAACAGCAGGTACGGATTAAATGGTTTTCAATGCATTCCTATGGAAAAGTTTGCCTCAACATACGAACTTTTCGATGTACGAATGCCGTTCCAATATGGATTAAATTTGTTAAGTCGAGGTACCACTGTACTATGCTTCTGAGGAATCCTAAGAATGTAGGAAGTCGCTTCACACCATGCATTTGTCCAGTCCAGTATTGCTGACTTGCTAGTGTTTCATGTTGTTTTCCTGCCCTGCCCGGAGAGGCAGGGGGTCCAATCCATGATCTCCCGAAATGCAGACCATGGGCTTTACCACTGAGCTAATGCCAGCTCTTAAGAAGGTCCACCCCAGTCTCTGTAATAATGGAGGAGTTCGTTTGGGCCATAAGCTCAGTCGCCGTAAGTCACAGCCTTCGAAACTGATCCCTCTTCTGGCCTGCAATGCAACCTCATTCAGTCAAGCAGTCCTCCCTGAAGAAAGAGGCATGATCGGCTGTACCTGCTCGGACAAGAGCGCCTGCAGCTGCTGAATTTCCAACTCCAAAGTTTTGTTCTGATCCTTTAGAACCTGAGAAGGTGGGAAAAAATCACAGTGTCAATGTAGAATTCCAGCTCCAACCATCACTGTGAAATATATTTAAAGGAAGAGAGGTAGCAGCTGATGATACTTGCTGGGTGTGTGTGCCTAGACGCCTATGGCTGGCTGCACCAAAACAGACACCACTTCTGGCTAAAGGAACTTAATGGCCCTTTAGGGGAGGAGCAGGTAAAAGGCAACTTAGGGTCACATCTGTTTCTCAGAGACCCAAAGGCAGTGCTCCCCCCTCCCAATTATTATTAACTTTTAAAAACGGCTCCGAAAGCTATACTGTGCCATCAGGAAGTCAGGGAGGGGCAATCATGCCACATTTGCTGCCACCACTTCTTCCCCCACGACACGCCACTCAAATATTGTTTCTTGTTCCTTTTTTTCATCGCCACTAGAGGGAGGTGGGGAGTCCCAGGGTGGTGTAGTGCAGTGGTCCCCAACCTTTTCCGAACCGCAGACTGCTTTAGCAGACGACCTCTGTGCGTGGGTAGGCGGGGGGCACCCATGCATGGGTGGGCACAGCATCCCTGTGTGTGCATGGGGAGGTGGGCGCGGCACCCGTGCATGCATCTGTGGGTGTGGGGGGGCGTGTATACAGGGGGTGGGAGATCTGTCTCTGCAGCCCGGTCCTGCCAAGGCCATGGACTGGGACCAGGCCTCAGACTGGGGGTTGGGGACCCTGGGTGTAGCGGATAAGAGTGATGGATTAGAATTCTGGAGAAACAAGAGTTCGAATCCCCATTGGGCCATGAAAATTCACTGAAGGAGGCGGAACTGGTAAAACTGCTCCTTAAATATCTCACTTACCTTGAAAGCCCTTATTAGGGTGTCTCTAAGTCGGAACACAGAGGGAGCTTTCCCAGTTTAAGAAAATGTTTATAAAAGAAATTTTTAAGGGAGGGGCAAGAGAGAAGATGTGGCCATCTTAGATCCAGCAGTGTGGGTGGGTGGGGTTGGGGTTGGGGGTGCATCCTCTGGGTCTCTGGAAGCTGCCCACTCTGGCTTTATGTATAATGCTTAGTGGCTTCGTAAATATCTCACTTACCTTGAAAGCCCTTATTAGGGTGTCTCTAAGTCGGAACACAAAGGGAGCTTTCCCAGTTTAAGAAAATGTTTATAAAAGAAATTTTTAAGGGAGGGGCAAGAGAAAAGATGTGGCCCTCTTAGATCCAGCAGTGTATGGGGGTGGGGTGGGGTGGGGTGGTGCATCCTCTGGGTCTCTGGAAACTGCCCACTCTAGCTTTATGTATAATGCTTAGTGGCTTCAGTCATGCCAAGACGGATTAACTGAAGCAATTAGTCAACTGTTCCAGGACTTACTTAGTTCTTTTACATCCTTTGTGGGCTGCCTCTCTCACAATATTAAAATAAGTAATAATAAAGACACAATGAATTACACTGGGACTTAGCCTCTCATTGCCATCCCACATCAGCTCAATGTAACAGGAGCTTGAGAATTTAACATCATTTGGAGTGCACAAGCAAGTGTCTTGATGAAGCCCCTCCAGAAGAAACAAGGAAGAATACTGAGGGAGGGAAAAGGCAGGGAATAAAAAGAACATTTCACTAGGCATTGGGCTTTTTAACAAGAGACACTGGTCAGAATCCTGCAGAATGCAAGCAGCATAAGCAGACAGCGGCATAAGTAAATCTAAGAGTGTGGCTCTTCCGGCTGCTGTGATCCTCCGCTTCCTTGAACGAGGTAAGCAGTTGTCACACACTTGACTGCACAACGGATGGCAAGCCAAAGAGCAAAAAATCTCTGTTGAAAAGGGCTTTTGTGTGTATGGTTTTTCCCAACAGGATTCTGGCCACTGAATAAAACACAATGAATTTTTAAAATATCTCACCATCTAAACTGAGAAGTGCTGAAGGTGTTAAATACCATCTCCATTGTATTTAGCACCAGTAAAATTAAATATTATAGATTCTAAATATTCTGTTGGAAATGTAACAAAGAAGTTGGTACATATTTCCATTTTTGGTGCAATTGTGAAGTTACACAAAAAGTATGGGTTAAAGTATTTGAAGAAATCAGGGAATTGTTGAAAATCAATACTGAAATGGTTCCAAAAACACCATTGTAACTGATAATATAAAATTGTGGGATTTCCAGTTGCAAGAATGATACAATGAAATATGGAACACAGCAGTTAATGATAATCTGACTTCAGAAATTACGTTTAAAAAGGGAGAGATAAGGTTAATAAATCCAATGAAACATGGGAAGAATTTATAAAAGCTATATTGTGTAAAGGAAAAGGGGAAAAAACTGGGCAATGAATATATGTATTTTTGGGAGGACTTTGGAGGTGGATAAAGGAGAAGGAAGGCTAAGATTATAAGTAAAGGTAAGTAAGATATAATGGTCCCTAGAGACCATTATTTTTTTGTTTATGTAGTTATCAAGTTTTATCTGTTTCTAGTAATTAAAAAAACCAGAAATAAAAAAAGGAGTGCCCAAGGGGGAAACCTGTAAAAAAAAATTTTAGTATGAGGATATAGGTTTTTGAAAATGAAGAACCACCGATAATAGATGAAAATTCCACGCAACAGTCATTGGTTATCAACTATGCATAATTCTGTTCATCCAAGTCACTTAAATACACATGAAAAGATAGGACACAAGGACTCACCCAGCATGCCTTTTCCAGGAAACTGAACCATTAAGTGCTACATCCGAAGGCGGGATGCTTCCACCAGGATCCTGCAATTTCGCCCTCCCCCCACCTGCATACAAAATTCTAAAAGGAATCTTTTACAACATGCTTTTTAAGCCTTGTTTGGGGCCTGAGCCTTACTGTGTTATGCAGAACCCCCCAGTGCTTCTTCTGGCTCTTTCTCGTCCCCTTTCCCAGGGGATCTCCCACCTCTGCATAAACCCTCCCTGTTAAATACAGTACCTGAAGTTCCTCCTTGGTGTTTGAAGCTTTGGCCAGATGTTCTTGCAACTGCTCCTCCAGGGCTCTGAGTTTGTCATCTTTGACCTGTGAACTATAGCAGAAAGATTAGAGGAGTAGGCTTCAGACCTCCACTTACAAGGATCTGTAACCAGAACCCCACTGCAAACCAGCATATAAAGCTGAGAGGATGTCCACCGTTCAAATAAGACCCTTTTGTTTATTTACCTTTTCTGCATCCTTTCCAGCTCATGCGCAGCAGCAGCCTAGATGCAAAGAGGATTACTGCTCTTTAGTATGTCACATTCTCAGCAAGTTTCAGCAAAAACATACACATATTGCAACATGAAAAACCCAGGTCAAGCTCATGAGATTTAGTCTCTTGCTGTGACTCTCTTTTTATGAGCAAAGGGACAACACAGGTTTTGCCTGTCACTGAAAAAAATAAAGAAAACTGACACGTGCTCCGTTCAAAAAAAAAGCGAAACCCTGAGGCTTAGCTTTGATGCTTTCAAAGTATTCAGAACAAGGAAGGAGGGCACTTTATCTTAACTAACGAGTTAGAAATGTAAGTGCTCAAGGCAAGGTCCGCCTGGCTAGATAATAGTGCGCCTGATTCCATGAAGCTCCTGAAAGCAAACGTAAGGGAACCAAAGCTATTTGCAGCGAAGTGTTCTGTACATTGGTTGACATAAAGCCAGTCCTGAGGGTGGAGGTAGGAATTCAATTAACCTAATATCATGAACATGAATTCAAGCTACACTCTTTTAAACAGGGGATTTTCCATTTAAGCTGGAACACAGATGGTTATGTTCTAGCACGAGAAAATACTCGCCAAATTTGGGGCTAATGTTGGCTATCATGCCTAACCTAATTTGCCACCACCATCCTGCTAAATTCCAGTAAATGTAAAGAATTAACCCCGTAACTCATGCAAAAAGCAAGCAAGGAGAATGTACCTTCTTTTCAAGCTGAAAGTGAATGTTTCACTGTATAAATGAATGTTTCACTGTATAAATAAGTGAATGTTTCACTGTATAAATACCAAGTAACGTCTGTTCTTCGGTAGGTGGGGAAAGGGTCTTCCATTCCGATGCTGGGTTAAAGGGCGATAAATCTTCAATAAAAGCACTTTAACAACAGCCTCTGTAGTCACACCACCAATAAGAGCCCAGAAATCTAACACAAAGGGATCTGGGTCGATTCCTCTGAACAAAACGGTCCTAGCAATTTTTGCCACCACCAAAACGGTTCAACATATTCAAGATCAAGGACCCTGAAAACCTCTGTATAGTAAGGAGGAGCAGTAAAGCAGTAAAATTCTGGCTTGTAAAATAACGCCTCCTTCCCCAATCACTATGAGGATCACAGTTAAGCTCAGAAGGAACAGAGAAGCAGGTAGGTGGGGGACGTCATTCTTCCTGTTAACCTGGAAAAATTGGTGTTCCAGTCCTGTGAGTCCTGCCTTTCCTAAGCCACTGGATAGACACTGGACTCCTCCAGCAACGTGTGCTTCTAACTCAGTGGTTCCCAACCAAGTGTTCTTAGACTACAACTCCCAGAAGCTTTCGCCACTAGCTGTGCTGGCCAGGATTTCTAGTGGTAACCCAAGAATATCTGGAGACCCAAGGTTGGGAACCACCATCTAACTGGACAGACATCTGGATTTGAAAGCTAGAGGTTGTCGTCATAATGAAATATAGACTCCTCTCCATTACTTGGGCCAGTATTCTTTGGGTCCTGCAAAAATCTTTCACGATGCGTCAGCACCACCAATACTCTTCACCACGGCCTATGGAATGGCAGAACACCTGCGGAACGCTTTTCTTAAAAAAAAGTTTACCTGCTCATTCGTGAGCGCCTGCAACTTCTGCACTTCCGCCTTCAGGGACATGTTGATGTTCTGTAAAACCTGGAGAGGGAAGAAAAAGCAACACCTTGTTGTTGACCTGAAGAACCCACTGATGAATTCAAGAACAAGGGCTGTTGGGTACCACACTGCCTTAATATATGAGACTTTCCTGAACTATGACAAAGATGCTAATAAGCACAGAAGTCTCAAATGCTATAAAGAGCATGGTCTCGAAGCGACCAACATGACTTTGACCCGAGTCCGGGAGGCAGTGGAAAACAGGAGGGCCTGGCGTGCACTGGTTCATGGGGTCACAAAGAGTTGGACACGACTTAACGACTAAACAACAAGTGTCCAGATCTGGTAAATACACTCTAGAAATAAATATAAATACAGTGGTGCCTTGCGCCTCGCTTGATGACGATAATCCGTTCCAGCAAAATTGCTGTAGAACGAAATCGTCGTCAAGCGAAAGTAAAAAGCCAATTGAAATGCATTGAAAACCATTCAATGCGTTCCAATGGGCGAAATACCTCACCGTCCAGCGAAGATCCTCCATAGGGCAGCCATTTTCTGGTGCCTATGTAGTGCAGAATCCGTCCTTAACACAGCAGAGAGCCATTTTGCACAGCGGGGATCCATTTTGAGAGCAGCTGATCAGCTGTTTGTAGATCATCGCTTAGCGAAAAATTGGTTCCCGAAGCAGGGAAACGATCGTCGTCAAGAGGATTTTCCCCATTTAAACATTGTTTTGCGATCGCAAAAACCTCATCGTAAAGCTGATTCATCGTGAAGGGGGTTAATTGTTAAGTGGGGCACCACTGTATGTATGGGGATTATTTAGAATTTTCCCGCAACAGGTAAATGAATCAGTGGATACTGATCCTGCAGATGGGGGGGGTACTACCGCATAAATAAGCACAGTAGAAGATTTGAGGGGAGAGGCTATAAAAACTGAAACAGAATCTGTGAATTGATTTGCACATGCTGAAGAATTAGATAGTGGAGCATACTGTATAATTTCAGATTACTTCCTCAGAATTAAAAAAAGTACACATCCCACATTGTGTAAGTAAAAAAATAGCTTACAAGAGAACAAGCCACATGAAAATCTTTCTCTCAAATGGGCCTGTATTTGAAGTCAGTTTGCTTTTGTTTAATGCTTGCAGGTGTTCCGTTTTACCGGAACAAGAGTGGGGGATTAAAAATCAACTGCCCGTAAGCTGAAGTGACGCAGGGTACAACCTCATTCTGCTAGGGAGGCCTAGATGGCTGGGGCTGAAAAGAACAATGTTTTGAATTCATACCTGTAGCGTCCCTAAAAAACGGAAGGGAAGTCATTTTGGATTTTCAAAGAGACACATACACACCCTCTTTGGGGTGTGCTTTCTTCAGCACTCCTACAATCCCTGGCCAACAGGTACACCTGCCAACCAAGAGGCCACTTAGTAACTATCATGTCAAGAATGCCACCCGTCTTCTGCAGAGTGTCAGGGAGCCACTCAGCGGCTGCTCCCCTTCCTGGCTGACGGGATTCCAGGAGTTGTGATTTGAAAAAGCCACTCTGTGCCTCTGGTCCCATCTGTGGGCATCTCAGACCCGGTGCGCTGCTGCAGCTTTTACGTTCTTTCTAGTTGTTCAGGCCTTTCATTAAAAGTAAAGAACTCCAAACATCTGGATCTGAAATCAAGCCGGCAGAACTTCACAACTCCGGGACAGCATGGAGGGAACGGCCATGGAGCCTTTCCGCCTTGCTGAGGATTCCAATACTGACTAGAGATGGGATATTTGTCTCCCGGGGGAGACGAATACAAATATCGCCACCACAGGGAGCCAGGCCTTTCAACGCACACATACACCCAGAACCAGCCAGTCCACTCACCAGGCTTTGCATAGCATGCACAGCCATTGTCAGTAATGTCACGCCAATCACGGGAGCAGCCCAACCAGCGCTTCCCCGCTTCCTTGCACGGCTGACCACTCAGCAGCTGAGCAGGGAGACTCATTGTCCCACCTCCTCGCTGGAGTTGCCAGCAGTGTATAGAGAAATGGTGGCCAGACTAATTCTATTGACATGATCGGTGCAAAGTGACCGGCCACGGTTGCATGGGCCACACAAAGCCCAGGGAGTGGACCGCGCTGGTTCTCGGGTGGAGGGTGGACCTCTGCTTTGTATCTTCCGGGATACAAATATAAAGCTCCCATGTATAATACTGACAAATGCATGCACAAGGAAAGGAAAGTGTGTCCTTCCTCAAATGAATCACACCGTTATTGGTGTTTCACAAAGGAAATGAAGCTGGATGGCAGGCTGGATCTCATGTTAAGAAACGTATGTAAGTTACATTTGTAAGTTTGGATGTGTTTATCCAAAAATTGGATACATGCATCCATTCTTTTAGTCCCCACAAAAAGGTAGAATACAAATGCTTTTTGTACTCCTATCACAATAAAAAACGTTGGTAATTAAGCTGCTCCATCCTTTCACAAACAGTACTTTTGTTTTTACTGTACCATGAGATCTTCTTCCTTGCTTGCTAGCTTCTTGTGTTCGTTGTTTAGTGACTCCTCAGCTTGGCTGATCTGCTTCTCTTTTTCTGCAATTCTGAAACACAGAAGGCCCAGTGGACACCTGTGAGCCACCACCTTTGACAAAAGATCGGCAGAAACTGCCCTTACGTCCATCGCAAAAGGACTGATCCTTCACACGGTAGCTCAACCTCACTAAGAACTGCAGTGGAGAACTGACTAGCGGGACTTTGGCATATATATTATATACACAGAATCATGTACATTTTAGGGCCCCAACGTAGAGCCCCGTTCTCCTCATTGTGTCTGTTGACTTCCCTGCTCATAAGGGTAGAGAATAAAATGTACACGATTCCTGATCACGGCTAGAGCCACTACGCTGCAGAGCTGAAGTCTTATCTATTTCACACGAACACCCCATCAGAGGCAGACATCTCACAGCAAGAAAGACGACCACGTTAACTCTCAGCAAAGATCAGGAAAGAAAAAAGGCCTGTAAAAGGGGGGAGATGACAGGTCTAGGGAAACTGTGGTGCATATGGGTTTTTTTTTAAAAAAGCTCAGTGGCTGAGAACACATTTATTTTATTTATTTAAATTATTTATAGGTAGTCCTTCAGCAAAGCTTCTTGAGAAGCTTACAGGGTTTCTCTGCATGAAGAGGGCAGGATCCAGCACTGTTGACGGAACAGGGGATCCAGTGGGAGGGAAAGGAAGCCGTTCCGCCCTTCCCACTGCAAACCCTCCCCTTTCCAACCTGCTCTAGAGGGCTGGGAAATCCTCCACGGCTAAGTTACAGGCAGCTCCGAGGACTATAGGAGGAAGGGGAACGGAAGGAAACTGCATTGCAATGGAGGAACC